ATTGTTTCAGGGATCCCACCTCTTGGGGTCCCAGTTCTCCCATGAAATAATAGTCCTCACCTTTGAATGGGGCAGCCTAAATTCAAATGGCCCTGCATTTTAGCCATCTTACATGCAATCACTTCAATGTGTTCTTCCTGTTGTATTTTGATAAAACATCTGAAGGGGCAGACCATGCAGTCCAGACATCCCTCTCTAACACCAATGCCTCTTTAGTCTCCTTTAGTTTCTCACTGAGCTATAATTTCTTTTCTGTGCTAGTCCTTACAGCACATAACAAAGTCCACACAACAGCCGAGATAGCTTGCTTACTTTTTCCCACTGCTTGCTTCCGTCAATACTTCTCACTAGCCCTTTGGCCTTATCCAGGTGTCCCTGTACTCACGCAATGCCCTAAGTTCCATAACCTAGCCAAGTCACCCTCCATGGAAGTGGTTGGCCAACCTGGGGTTTCCCCCATCGACAACAGGCTTTCCTCCAGCATGGTGACTTTGCCCATTCCTGTGTTATTTATGGTTTCCTGCCTGGCTTGCCAATTGTTGGGAAATGGAGGGAACGCAAAATCCCTACCAAACTGAGAAGGCATCTTGAAACCAAAAACCAGGCAGGCAGCTCCATATAGTCAACTGATCCATTTTTTATGCGGTAACTTATAGGGTGGGATCAGGATCAGGTGGACAACTATCCAGAAGCATTCACAGTTGTACTCTGCACCATGGAGGGGCCATTAGGATAATTTTATAGTTATCCTAGAGTATGGGGTTGGGGGCTTGATAACAGGATGAGCACTCATAAGTCAAAATTCACGAATGGGTAACCAGTATCCTGGACACTGGGAATATTTCAGTGAAGGTCTTCATCATTGTTTGGGGACAAACAGGGCATAGAGGCCACCTGGTCCTAATGATTATTAAACATCTATTAACTACAAAGCCTTGTGATGGCAGAGAAGTGGTTCACTGCACAGTACAGTCCTGGGTAGGGTCAATGGAAGGAGAAACAGTAAGGGCCCAAGATGGCTAACAGTCAAACAGAGATCAAGTTTTATCTTCAGGTCCTCCGACTGGGAAATGTTTCCTGGCAATGGGTGTATATAACAAGATTCTACTGATATAAAACAATTGGTCATGTGGTGTTTGCTGTAATACACATTGTGTCAAAGTGGCACACTCAGTTTACATGATGGAGTAAGGAAGAAATCATTGACATGAAGTAAAAGACGCAACTTGCAGCAAAGTCTTGTGTTTTTCATCCCCTAGAATTCCTCACCATGGATAGCTGGTAAAGCATCTGCGGGCAGCCACTGCTATGTGCTCAGCGCACTTGGGTTTATGGACTCCAGGAGTGTGTCACGGGAGTGAGGCTATGAGGAGAGACCTAAGTAGCTGCTTCACTGAATGAAGCAGAGGAAGGGAAAATAAATACACTATATAATTATAGCTCCCACTATTCTAGAACTCAAATAATCTACAATCTCCAGTAAAGTCTGAATGTGCCATGCTTAGAAATATTACAAATACAATTCTAAGGGACATTTGTCATACAATTACTACCCTGCCCCACCCTCCTGGTTAGCTCAGACAGCCTTCTCTACCAGGTGCATGGTGTAGTTTGGCTGAGCCTGGAGATACAGAATAAACTGATTTCTCTTGGAAAAGGTCATATACCAGGCTCTGATTACACTTTTGTCTCCCTCCCATTTCCTGCTGAGCGTACAACTTCTTGGCCTCAGCAATTACAGCTAATGGCTACAGAGGAAGACAAAGAGGGCAGCACCTTCAAAAGCATTTTTTTCTCTTTGCAATGGTGAGCACAGTCAAGAGATTTAAGTAGTTTACAATCAGTTACATTATATAAAACAATCTGTATGTCAAAGTGCCCCAAATGAACTAAGTCCAAATTCCACTTTTACCACTGATACAACTGTAACAAAATTGAATAGAGTTCAAAGTATATAAAAAAAAAGCACTTTCATTCTCAATTTCCTATCTGCAAAATGAGTTTCATATTATCAACTTCATAGTCTATAATGAAGATTAAATGTAATAACAGGTAAAGTACCTTTCATATAGGACTTGGCAGGTGTAGGTATTTCCCGTAGCCAATAGCAACTATTTCACACACGTAATTTATTTTATAGATAACCTAGTTAACAGCAAGTTTATGGCTGAGTATTGAAAATTATAATTTTTCTCTTAAGACTAGCTTTACATATCTATGTTTGGGCAAATACTAACAAATGCATATACCCAACTCTATTGTAGTGCTTATAAAATACTTTGTAACCAGTTTTTAGACCTGTTAAATAAAACGGTTCTTTAAAGCTCATATAGGCCCATCGGTTGGAGAAGTCTTCCAGCCATGCTTCTATTTTTTTCTGAAGAGCTAGGCTGATAGCAGCTAGACTTGAAAATCAAGTACCTCCAGCCGTAACTGAGGCAAAAACTAGCAACAGTGTTTGAAAAAACTCCACAGTGCTGGCCGCTCTACTCCATTTTCCTGACTAGAAAGACCGGAGGCCTCGCAGACTGAAGTGAATGTAGAATCCCAGCTACTTCTGACTCCCTATCTGTACGTCAGGTGAACGTGATAACCACTACCCTACGGAAACCCGTTCCCTATCTTTATGTGGGAGTTTCATGGATTTTCTCTCTCAACAATGAAAACACAGGGGATTGTTTCTAACTCATTTTTTCCATCTTCTGCCCGAAGGAGATCAGAATTTCTCCTCAGACTGTATTCAGTCATCTAGTACTGAAGTAGCAGGAAAAACTGTGAAACTCAAATTGCGTTTTTCCACCACGAATAGGACTTGGGTGAATTACGGAGACTACATAACTCAATCTAGTTAGTCAAATTAGAAAACCAGGCTCTTATCCTAATCTCCGTAATACAAGGAGTAACAGAAGATTTCAGGGAGCAACACTGCAAAAACAGAAAGAAAAAAAAAAACACTATCTTGTCTCGCCAAGACTAGTCTTCTCACCTTCTCAGGAAGGTAAGGGAAAGAAAAAAATCAAAAATCATAAGAAAAAGAAACTAAGGATTGCTCGAAGGAAGAGAAACTATGGCTAGGGCATAATTAGTGTTCTTTCCATCTCCAATTAAGCATGTTTCTTATCAATTAAATAGAACTCCCTCATCTGCATGAATCCAAAGATACAGTTCACCAGTATGTATGTATATAATGTATATATATAAATATATAATAATTTATATAATGGATTTATATAATGGATTTTTTCCCCCAGGGTGAGAATATTTATTGTAAAATTTTCCAAAAGCACCCAAATTGTTAATGTTTGGTCAAAAGAAAATTAGAACCAAGGTTGGTAGAATGAATTCTAATGAAAAAATCAGAGAAAATCTATAAATCCTAATTTAACTTTCCATATTAGCTATTTCAGAAATAATATAAAATAAATATTCTGATGAAATATTCTCATTATACTAAGAGTATCTGTCAATTTGTAAGGCTATCATTCTAACGAACAACTATTTGCTCTCAGTACAACAAACAAAAGTTGAACATAACTGCTTGGGTCTAAATAATGGTTTAAAATCTGGGAATAGTACACGAAGATGTTGAATTGGGACTAGTTTTAGAAATAATAAAATTAAAAATCTTTCTATCTTACAATATAATACTCCAGCAATGATAAAATAGTTAAAGTTTTAAAAGTTAACCTCCTCCCAAGTTGCCAGGTATGAAGCCCAAACTACGAATGTTTTAACTGAAAGAACAGGACATCCTTTTTCTTGCTGTGAAATTTTTTCAAAAACACTCTCTCTCCCTCTCACACACAAGCACACACACCAACTAAAAAAAAATAGCTTATGTGAAGGTGCTTAAGGGTAGACTGAGCTGACAGGTGAGTGGAAGGAAATTCTTAAGAGAGTGAGAGAAAAAGAATGGTTAGGAGAGAACTGAGTGAGCAAGTTCAGGAAAAGAGCTAGAGATAGGCAAAGTAGATTGTAATGCAAATATTTATTTTCAGCTTACATTTGGCAGAACACCATTCAAATTCCAAAGGTCATTAATGAGCTACATGAAATATCATCTTAGAGAAATATATTCCAAAAATTTACAGTTTTATATTCTGGTTTGGTTGTATGTAACCCCCATATATTCAAGGGCATGCATCAGTTCTACAGTTTACAAAAAGAAAGCACTCAAAATATCATAAAAATTGATTTCATCTGAAAAAAACAAAGCTCCTTTTCCTTTACAAGTTGAATTTTGTTTTCATTGTTAAAATTAAAATTATACATGAAAATAGTATCAAGTGAATGATTATGTGTTGGAGAACAGACACTTCAAAATGATAATGACTATAAAAATAGTACATACAATACACTGCACACATCAGGTTGTAGAATAGACAGAAAAATGGCTAATGTCCACAGGCTATTTATTACTGACCCAAATCTCAGAATGCGTAGTGATTAAATTTTGGCTTAACTGAATAATTTGGTCATCTATTATGAACAAACTGTTGTTAGCCAAAGATTATTTTTCAATGTTCAACTTTTAATATATCCTATCCTAGATAAGACCTTTTGCTTTTATCATGAGATTCTTCAGTTTCAGGCATTTTCCAAGTGAGAACAATAGCACCAGAATAATGTCACAACCTCTGCAACATTTGCAAAAATGGACCACACTTATCCTCTATCCTGAAATAGTTCACATACCAGTGACTACAACAATAACTATATGGTCCTATTTAACAATAAATTAAACAATTCCTATAAAACTTTCACAGTCTATGAAAAGATTATGAATCAGAAATTATTTAATGTTCCGGACACCAAGTAAATTTGTTTTAAGGTCTTTTAAGATAACCCCCTTGAAAGAAAAGCTAGGTTCATTCAACTTTATATGCCCATAGACTGAGTCTAGTGTTTGTACATAATACTCAATACATATTGATGAATTGACGGTATTAATTTGTGACAAATGATCAGGATCAAGAAAAGTCTTGAAAAACAAATATGGCAGTTAAATCAATCAATCAAGATATGCACAGTATAGGTCCTTTTACAGAAAAATTTAAATTCCCACAACACTACAGGTTTTCAGAGTCAAGCATTCAATGGAATGGTGAATAATGAATTTCATTCTGGTGATTACCTCGAGGCAGGTGATTTTTGGGTGATTTAGTCAAAGCTACTTGAAATTCTAACCTTTTACCATCAATTACTGATTGTATTTTAACACAGAGAGCAGAAAAGACCTGGTAGTAAAAATCTCAAGAATTCTGTTTATTTTCATGGCAAACATTTTCATGGCAAACATTTTCATGGCATTTGACAGAACTCAGAGCTATTTCTTTGAAATGGGTTCATATCTGTGAAACTAAGCCCACCAGGATGAAGTCTTTTTTTTTTTTAAAGAAAGAACAAGAAAGAAATTAAGCCACCAAAAGATGTATTTCACATAATAGCAAAATATAAAAAATTGAAGCAAAATGACAGAATAAAAAAATTGCTAAGCAATGGATTTAAGAAACTTTGATTCTGTTCTTCTCTCTTGTTACTAATGGTCTTCTTTTCCTTCCATTGTTATATATGTAAAACAGGTATGATAAGAATGAATGAAGAATGGCCTTGCAAGACTTACTAGGAGGTTAAAAGGAATTATTGAAACATTGTTCAAATACTTTATAAATACTACTGACAAAAGTATAATAAGATCGGTGTTTTTGTTTTCTTTCAGTGAAGATGTTCTTTTAAATCAGACTCTGTTTCTTAATATTGTTTCAAATTCTCAACTAGAGAGATGTTAGCTTTCTTCCAAAGTGATACTCCGAGTGAATCACAGTATTTCTGATTAAGAAAGACAATACTTGAACTGTGCTACCAGGGGAAAAAGAAAGGAACTGCAGCACAACTGGTAAAGTTCCTAGACTTAGTCCAATCAAGTTATAGATCATCCAACTGACATAATATTTTGTTACTCCAAAACTTTCTAGTATCATTTTGAAATCATATTCCATCTCAGTGTGAGATTTCTTACATAAATAGGAGGAATTTAATTTCTGTAAACGTTTGCAATGCCAGTTATTTCTCTGAACAAATTTTTTTCCTTTAAGAGAGTGGCTCCAGCGAAGAATCCTTTCTTACACATCCATGTCCAGACTAAAAAGAAACAACGCTTTTCTTTAAAAAGACAGAAATACCCAAGAAATGTTAAAGCTTTCTGTAGCCAGGGATTGTCCATCTATTATTCTAAGCATGTAATCACTCCCTATAGATTCCTGATGAATCTAAAATGTTTTCCAGTTACTCATAGCTCATCAGATGTGTTCACCTTTGGTACGTCACATTCTTCACTGGTATGACAACTCTGAAGGATATCCTTGTAGTAGTTCTTCAGATCTTCATATAAAGAAACAGTTTGTTGTGAGTGAGCCAAGGGTAACACTTTTTCATTTAACAACATCTGCACTCGGAATTCTTCTTTAGGAGTCTTAGCATTTTTACAATGGTAAAGCACAAATATTAGGTTTGAGGCATAGGGTACAATGTGACCACTTCGGAACTTCCTATGCATTTGCTCCTTGTAATTATAAGCTGTTAGGGGCTCCTTGTCTTTGAAGTAGCCCATAAGAGAAAGCAGTGGAAGAAGGGTCTCTGCATGACCAAACTGAAGGATGACTGGAGAGGAAACTGGTTGAGAACTTAAAAGAGAAACAGAGAAAAAAATATGTATAAACATATTTTACATACATAATAATTTAACATAATTTTACATATAATAATTTAACATAACAGCTTGTAAACACAATAGTTACACTTAGAATTAGCATACAACTTTCTCACCTTTTTGAAATATAAACATAACAACAATATGAATGAAATTCTGTGTGGCAGAGAACTGAACTTTTTATACTGAAAGTTAAGTTCCAAAATTTTGGATCACTGTAGTAGTGCAAATTCATCTAAAAGTGAGGCATATATGTTATTCTTTTTTTTTCCCAAAAAGTAGAATGTATGTTCTCTCTCTCTCTTTTAAATTGAAGTACAGTCAGTTTACAATGTTGTGTCAATTTCTGGTGTACAGCATAATGCTTCAGTCATACATATACATACGTATATTCCTTTTCATATTCTTTTTCATTATAGGTTACTACAAGGTATTGAATAGTTTCCTGTGCTGTACAGTAGAAACTTGTTTTTTTATCTATTTTATATATAGTAGTTAATGCCTGCAAATCTCAAACTCCCAACGTATCCCTTCCCATCCCCTTTCCCCACTGGTAACTGTAAGTTTGCAGTTTAAAGAGAGTCCAGTATTTACTTGCAGGTTAAGGAACCTGAAGCTGGTATGCATTTCAAAACTGCACTGCTTTCTGTGAATGAAACTGAGCAGCTGGCCCTTAGTAAGTATTGATTACTCTTTGGAGCTCTTCTGAATGAATTTCAAATGTTACTTTCTCTTTATCTAAGGAATAAGGACAAGCAATATTCAGTAAATTTCTTGGTTAAAATCAAGTCTGAACAGTCTGAACAGTAAAATGGTAATGCATGTATTTCAGTGCTTTTTATAAGAACTGATTTGGGCACCAAATGAGGAATAGAACCACAAAAGGGCTGAGATACAATCTATTATAGCTGATATACCGTGTCTTTGGGTGCGAGTGGACTTGATATATTACAATAAACACAACAACTTTCAATACTATGAGCTAAGTCACCTTTTTTTTCCCCCTCAAGTTTTCTATAATCTTTTTTTATTTTCTGGTAAAGGCTTCTTTTATAAACAGCAGCAAATGACTGCTTAGCCTTTTCTCAGCTTTTATAGAAAGAATATAGCTATAGTTCTTAAATATAATCTGTAAACCTATTCAAACACAATTAACCATCTGACTTCTTGCCACCACCTCACACATTAGGCTACAAATTTAGTACATCTGGATTGTCTAGGAGGACAGCAGCACTTGCAGCAGTTTTTGAACTTTCCTGAGTTCCCACATAAAAACAGATGCAGCAACTGGATAGCACACCCAAAACCCAAGGGAAACATTCACAGCATAACCATGTAGAAAAGTATTTTCCATGAATTACCAATAGCCTCAAGACCTGCATATTATCAGTATCTGTGGAAGGAAGCAAAGGGAAACCACAAAGCATGTGAGAGATTTGAAAACAGGAGTATCCCAAAGAGCCATCAGGTACTCACTAGAAAGTACAGTGGGCCAATGTGAGACAGCAGCTGAAATTGGGAATGGTTTCACCCAATCTAGCATGTGTGTGTGTGTGTAAATATACATGTACAATGTACGTGTATTACACACATATATATGTATGTATATGTATATATGACAATAGTAATATTTATTTTTTCTATATGCTGTAAACATATATCATTACCATTTTTGCTTTTGATAACGAGTTACCTTTTAGAACTATTAAAAACAGAATAAAAATTATAGTGGACAGAATTCTAAAATGACCTCCAAGAAATGAGCCTAATCTACCTGGGGAAAGGGAAATACTCAACTCTAGCCCCATCTAACTCCTCTGTGCCACCTAAGGAGGGGGGAAAAAACTGAGAGGCACAGGCTCATCAAAAAGCTGAGACCCAATCATAGGACGATAGAAAGTTTACCCTCCCTCACACCTTACCGCTACATTAGTAAAGGCCTATTTACCATAGTTTTACCCAGTACATCATGTCCACTTTCAAAAAAAAAAAAATTACAAGACATACTGAAAGGCAAAAAACTTAGTTTAAAGAGACTAAACAAGCATTTAGAACCAGAGTCAGATATGGCAGATATGTTAGAATGATCACACCAGGAATTTTTTAAAATTATAATTAATCTGTTAAAGGCTTTAATGGAAAAAATAGACAATATGCAAGAAGAAATGAGTAATTTAAGTGAAAGACAGAACGTCTATGAAAGAATAAAAAAGAAATAATAGAGATTAAAAACATTGTACAGAAACAAAGAGTATCTTTGTAAACCAGACACAGATGAGGAAAGAATCTCTGAGCTTTAGCGTATGACAACAGAAACTTCCAAAGCTGACAAGAACAGAGAAAAAAGGACTAGAGAAAAAGAAGAGAATATACAGGAACTGTGGGACAATTACAAAAGGTTTAAATTAACATATGTGTAATGGGAACACCAGACAGAGAAGAGAAACAAAAACAGATGCAACGTCTAAAGCAAACATGAATGAGAATTTACCCAAATTAATGTTAGACACCAAACCACAGATCCAGGAAGGTAAGAGAATATTGAACAGGATAAATTCCAAAAAAAAACACCTATGCCTAGGCATATATCATTTTTAAGCTTCCGAAAATCAAAGCTAATGAAAAAAATCCTGAAAGAAGCCACAGGAAAAAAGCACCTTACCTATACTGGCACAAAGGTAGGTACTGCACCTGACTTCTCCTTAGAAGCCATGCAAGCAAGAGGACAGTGGAATGAAATATTTAGATGTTTTGAGAGGGAAAACCTCAACCAACCTAGAATTTTGTACCTTGCAAAATTATCCTACAGAAAAGATGGAGAAATAAACACTTTCTCAGACAAACAAAATCGAAAGAACTTGTTGCCAGTGGACATACCTTGCAAGAAATGTTCAAAGAAATTTCTTCAGAGAGAAAGAAAATGACATAGGTCAGAAACTCAGCTCAACACAAAGAAAGGAAGAACAGTGCAGATGAGTAAGTAAAGATAGCATTAAAATGTTTATTTTTTATCCTTAATTGGTCTGATAACTATTCAAAATAACAGTAGCAATAATTTACTCAATTATGTATGCTTATATATACACACACACACATACACACAGACTTATGCATGCTTATGTATGTATAAGTGAAATTAATGACAGCAATGATACAATGGACAGGAAGGAAGAATTAGAATATTTTGTTATTATAAGGTACTTGCACTACCCATGAAGTGCAAGTAAAATGTTATTTGAAAACAGACTAGGATTATAGTTATAAATGTATATTGCAAATTCTAGGGCAACCACTAAAAAAGATTAAAAAAAATGAAATACAATTGATATGCTAAGAAAGGAAAGGAAATAGAATCATTTAAAGTCCTTGATTAAAACATCAAAAGGCAGAAAAAGTGTGGAAGACAAAAACAGGAACAAAGAACAAAAGCAACAAATAGACAAGAGTAACAAATATGGTAGATATTAATCCTAGTATATCAATAATCACTTTCAATGTCAATGGTCAAATATACTAATTAAAAGACAGAGAATGTCAGATCAATATAAGACTCAACTATACGTTTTCTACAAGAAATCCACTTTAAATATAAAGACACATACAGGATTAAAAGTAAAGTAATGGAGAAAGATATAACATGTTAGCTAATACTAATCAAAAGAAAGTGGGAGAAGCTATATACATATCAGACATGGCCAACTTCAGGGCAAGGAAAGTCATCAGAGATAAAGAGGAGCAGTACCTACTGATAAAGGGGTCACTATTCTAAGAAGATAAAACATTCCTTAATGTATATGTACCTAACAACAGAGCACAACATGCATGAGGCAAAAAACTGATAGAACTACAAGGAGAAACAGATAAACCCACTATCATAGTTGGAGACATTAATACTCCTCTATCAGAAACCGACAGATCCAGCAGGCAGAAAATCTGTATGGACATAGTTAAACTCAACAACACTATCAATTAACTGGATATAATGAAATCTACAAACTACTTCATTCAACAACAGTGGACTACACATGATTCTCCTGCTCATGTGGAACACTCACCAAGGGACCACATTCTGTAATATAAAACACAACTTAAAATTTTTTTTAAGAAACAGAAATTATACAGTATCTGCTCAATGGAATTAAACCACACCACAATGGAATTAAACTAGAAATCAGTAACAAAAAGATAACTGGAAAAATACCCAAAATACATGGAGATTAAACAACACATTTCTAAGTAACATGTGGGTCAAAGAAGAAATCTCAAGAGAAATTTTAAAATATTTTTAACTAAATGAAAATGAAAACACAACTTAGAAAAACTTGTGGGATTCAGTGAAAGCAGTGCTTATAGAAAATTTATATCATTTAATGTATATATTAAAAAAGAGGAATGATCTAAAAGCAATCACCTAGGCTTCCATTTTAGGAAAGTAGGAAAAAAAAAGAGCAAATCAAATCCAAAGTAAGCAAAAGAAAAAATAAAGATCAGAGCAGAAGTCAATGAAATTCAAAACAAGACATCTAATAGAAAAAATCAACAAAATCAAAAGATGATTCTTTGAAAAGGTCAATAAAGTCAGTAACTCTCTAGCCAGGTTAACTAAGAAACAAAGAGAAAAGGCACAAATTACTGGTATCAGAAATCAAAGAAGAGACTTCACTACAGATCCAATGGACATTAAAAGGATAACAAAGAAATATTATGAACAACTCTATGCCTCAAAATTTGATAACCTAAATGAAATGGAACAATTCCTTGAAAGATAAAATCTGCCAAAATTCACACAAGAAGAAAGAGATGATCTGAATAGGCCAATATCTATTAAAGAAATTGAATCAATAATTAATAACCTTCCAAAATAGAAAGTACCAGGGCCAGATGTGTATACTGGTGAACTGTACCAATCATTTTAGGAACATATTCTACCTATTTTCTGTAAGTTCTTCCAGAAAACAGAAGCAAGGGGAACAGTCAACTAATTCTATGAGACAGTATTACCCTAATACCAAAACCAGATAAAGTCACTACTAGAAAACTACAGACAATTTTTCTCAGAAGCTAGATGCAAGCAAAAATCCTCAACAAAATATTGACCAATAGAATCCAACAATGTAATAAGGAATTATATACCATGACCAAATAGGATTTGTCCCAGGTATGCAAGGCTGGTTCAACATTCAAAAATCTATTAATGTTAACTATTATATCAATAGGCTAAAAAAGAAAAATTACATTATCATATGAATAGATTCAGAAAATACATTTGACAGAATTCAACATTCATTCATGATAAAAATTCTCAGCACATTAGTGATAGAGGGAACTTCTTCAACTAGATAAAAAACATACAAAAAGCTAAGTTAACATCATACTTAATGTTGAGAAATGCAAAGCCTTCCTGATTAGATGAGGTACAGGCAAGAATGTCCCTTCTCACCACTGCTTTTCATCATTGTACTAGAAGTCCTAGCTAAAGCAATGAGATAAGAAAACGAAATAAAAGGTAAACAAACTGGGAAGGAAGAAATAAAACTGTATTTGTAAATGACAATCATCTATGTAAAAAATCCAAAGAATCAATAAAAAAATCTCCTGGAGTAAATAAGCAATTATATCAAGACTGCAGGATACAAAGTTAATATACAAAAGTCAATTGCTTTTCTATATGCTAACAATAAACAAATGGAAATCTGAAATTAAAAACACATTACCATTTATATTAGCACCCCTAAAAATGAAATATTTATATAAAATAACAAAATATACAAGATCTATATGAGGAAAACTACAAAACTAAAAAAAAAGCTATCAAGCCATGAGAAGACATGGAAGAAACATAAATGCGTATTACTAGGTAAAGACAGCTAATCCAAAAAGGCTACATATTGTATGATTCCAACTATATGACATTCTGGGAAAGGCAAAACTACGGAGACAGTAAAAAGATCAGTAGTTTCCATGGGTTAGTGGGGAGGGAAAGATAAACAGGCAAAGCACAGAGGATTTTTAGGGCAATGAAACTATCTGTACAATTCTATACGGCCAATACATGTTGTTAGAAATTTGTCCAAACCCAGAGGATATACAACACCAAGAGTGAACCCTAATGTAAACTATGAACTTTGGTGATAATGATGTGTCAACATAGGGTCATTAATTACAACAAATGTACCACTGTGGTGTGAGATGTCAATAGTAAGGGAGGTCTGGTGGGGAGGGAGTTTATGGGAACTCTACCTTCTGCTCAATTTTGCTGTGAACCTAAAACTGCTCTAGAAAATAGTTTATTAATTAAACAACAACAACAAAACTACTGCCATGGGATGTAACCAAAAAGCACATTTTCCTTCCAAAGAGTTAATATAATCTGTTAAACAGCTGCTCAGGCTTGTACCTGTTTGCCCTGTTATAAGACTTCCTTACATTTCAATTCTCTTCAACAAAGTTAAGGAGAATACATGTTAAACATAAAAACATATTGTATTTCTATTCTAAAATATTTCCAAACACCAAAAATGGGAAATTGGTTACTTTCAACTAATGGAGGCTAAAGAGTTGTGGAGTTTGTATGTGTGTGCACATACAGTAGCAGTTTTTAAATTTTGGTTTGTTTTTGTAATTCTAAAGACATCAAAACCAATATTACAAAAGTATTTATTTATGGTCCAATTTTCATCAGAAGCCATTAAAGGTATGTGCCAGGTTTCTGTAAAGTAAATCAGTAATTCCTGTGAAGTGAGTTGGTTCCATCTCAGGAACACACTGCTCTTTACTCTGACTCATAAATGAGAGTAAATCTTAGAAATGTTCTGAGCCATCTGCTAGCAACTGATTTACTTCAATTAGTATAACTGCTGTTTGAAAGAACCATATCCTCAGCTTCCCCTTGAACACACCCAAGTCCCAAGGATAGCAAGGGAACTCTTCTGGGTTTCATTTCCAAGCTTCTCCAAAGCAAAGTTGGTCTATGATTAAGCCCAAAATATTGGCAACAGCAAATGGGTAAGAGTGTGTATGTCTGAATGAGAGAGTAAGGAACTGTGTGTGTGTGTGTGTGTGTGTGTGCGCGCGCGCACGTGTGTGTGGCTGGCGGGGAAGGTGAGGGGAGGTGCTCAGAGAGACCAGAGAGAACAAGAGAATATAATATATGGGAGGACAAAAGGGTAAAGAATGTGAAAAACACTTCTCAGTTTACTCAATGTCTAATATACGGCCACTGCACATAATTTTGTCAGAAGATTGCTGAGTGCATAAAGATTGCTACATCCTATCTATGGTCCCATGTAGCTTTCTTTATTTCACATGGCATTCAATAAACAGAGCTGAGAAGTTCAGGCTGCCAAGACAGAAAGACCAAAGTTTTCACCTTTAACTTAAGAATGCAGTCTTTCGGAGGAAGATGCAAAAATTTTTTTAAAAAGGAGCTATCAAGACAATCAGTAATGATACATATTCAGTATTCACTGCATCTGTAGTTTCTAAATGTTGGGGAAATAAAACTATCTAAGAATCTAAAGGAATGGGACTTCATCCC